CTCTATTACTATAAACTGCCCGTATCTTGTCGTTCACACAGCCGATGTAACTTTAGAATTTAACCCTTGTAATCATTTATATCTTGTGAGCTGTACAGTAGAGTCTGACCCCTGGGTGGGAGTGATGAACACTATTGCGGCCTGTATTCTCCATAGCTGAAGTGAGTGGGTCAGTGGTTGCGTCATTTCCTTATCCTTGTGTTTATAAATATGTTCGTCTTACTACATGTGGCCAAAAAGAACTCTTAACACATTTAATAGTTTAAAAAAAAAAAAGTTAAATACATCGGTAAACGTACGTGGCTTTCAGGTGTGAACACCGCGCTTGTTTCAAGACGCAAGGGAAGATTTCTTTTAGTTTCTTAATTCTGTAATGTCAGTCTATATCAGGTCATCCAGAAGACCATGAGACATTGTTCTTGCCATATTTAACAAAAGAAAATAATAATATTGCCCAAAATATAAGAAAAACCAGTTACATCACTTTCACCGGAGACGGTCGTGATCCTCAGCACCTAGAGAAACTTACTCTGCAAATCCACTTGCCCAGGGTACCCTTAGACATTCACCTTGCCATGTCTAGCAAAAAGAAAATCTGAATGCTAATAAACTCAAAAATTGACTTTATTTGCTCATGTCACCAGCGAAATGCCTGGCACTCCGCCCCTCCCCCCATACGAGACGTCAATCATCTGTCGGCCATTTATTTTTTAATATTCGGGTCACTTATTAATAACCCGAAATAGCCCTCCGAGCCATAATCCGAGCCATGTAAATTAAGATGAGATAACAAAGAAAACTATTATTTAAATATCCTAATAACCGGTTCCAATGGAAATGTTTATATCTTAAGAGACCGCCGTGTACCCCCAATGACGTCGTACCTTTAACGCCGAATATTTTTCGTCTCCCCATCGACCTTCACCAACTTTATCAAGCATTGCATTCCTACAATCATCCTCTTATAGCCTCAAGTATGGTAAGTAACGCACTTTTGTTTGTGATAGATAGATGCAATGCAACCAATATATTATCTAGGGAAGATATAAGATGAGCCAAATGTACCAGGTAGTTGCTGAGGCAATAGTTTACAAGTGTCATCTGTGACTCACGCTGATAATTACCATGGATAAAATTCTCCTACTATATTTCACTGTTTGGGTTGTTGTTGTTCCGGTTGTGTTTAGGTACTACCATTATTTGTAAGTTTACATTCGGTTACGTAAAATATTGTTTTAGAAGAAATGTTCGAACTCAGGGTTAGAAAAAATGACAAAATTGATTAATGATGTTTTCAATCACTCAATTTAAATCGTTTCAGTCCTATCATACATCACCAGAACAACAATAAACAGAAGTTAAATATACTATGGACAAATTTCTTAAAGAAATTCTCTGTAATAGCAATGCGGATGACCTGTTGATTTACATTTATCTTGGATAAGGCGTTCGGGTTACTAAATAGCAACCCGATGTTCGGGATTGATATTCTAGTTTGACGACATTCGGGCTTGCTGCCCCTAGTGTTTAAAAAAATGGCCATGTGACTGTCCCCAACTCACCACCTGACGCGCACGCGCGTCACTCAGGTGACGTCATTGAACGAGGCGGAACTGGAGTTTATGATGTTACAGTGATTTGTCCTTACTGTTTATAGTCCTTGAGCAGTATAAAGTAACAAGGTCGCTAAGAAATGTAAGAACATAAGACCATAAGAAAATAAGGAGTCTGCAATAGGCCGGTTGGCCTGTGCATGGCAGCTCCTGTCGAGAGTTACTACCACTCTATCACCCTTGAATCTATCCAGCCTCCTTTTAAAACGTTCCAGCTTTCCAGCACTTACTACAAAGTTGCTAAGCTTGTTCCACTCGTCCACCACCATATTTGTGAACCAGTTCCTTCCTATCTCCCTCCTAAACCTAAACTTATCCAACTTAAATCCGTTGCTCCGAGTCCTATCCTGCTCGGATATTATAAGAACTTTATCTATATCCCCTTTATTGATTCCTTTCACCCACTTAAATACTTCTATCATATCTCCCCGCACTCTTCGTCTTTCTAGGGAATGCAAGTTTAGTTTCTTTAATCTATCTTGATATGGAAGGTTTCTAAGTCCCGGAATCATTTTCGTCATTCTTCGCTGCACCGACTCCAGTGAATTGATATCCATTCTATAATAAGGGCACCAGGACTGAACCGCATAATCGAGGTGCGGCCTGACTAGCGCAAGATATAGTTGCAATAAGTCCTCTGCACTCTTATTACTTACACTTCTAGATATAAAACCTAATACTCTGTTTGCCTTATTTCGAACATTAACGCACTGTTTTCTAGGCCGTAGGTCCGGGCTTACAAGTACCCCCAAGTCTCTTTCACAAGTCGACTTCTCGAGGTTGATGTTGTTAAGGCTGTATACATTGACGGTATTTGTTCTTCCAATATTAAGTACGCTGCACTTGCTGGTGTTGAATTTCATTTGCCATTTTTCAGACCACCCCTGCAGTTTATTTAAATCCTCCTGTAGTGCATTTGCATCCTGTCCTGAATTAATCTGCCGCCCAATTTTGGTGTCATCAGCAAACTTGCTTATGTCACTGCTGATCCCAGTATCTAGATCGTTTATGTAGATTATGAACAAGAATGGGCCTAGTACTGACCCCTGGGGAACCCCACTGGTTACACAGCCCCACTCTAGTTTGTTATTACTAATGTCAAGACCGCTTTGATAAAGAAATGTATGTATACTGACGGAGAGTGCCGTACTTATAGTTTATACGTGAAATGGTTAGCATGCTCGCGCCTCGCAAACGAGAGGACACGGGTTTCGATCCCTGGGCAGGGTGAAATTATGGTCAATTTTCTTTACGCCATTTGACTTTGTCTACCCAACAATAATTGGGATCCTGGATGTTAATCGATTTGCGGATCGTGTTCTGGGTTAGCCAGTATAGTTGGCGAGTTGTCCGGTCTTCTCGGACTATTCCTTGACACTGACTGGGTCATGCAACTCGTTTACTCAGAGTATGGTTGTTGTGTTGGCCACAGCTTCTACACCTTAAATAAATTTACGCCAAGGTGGCCTTTGGGTCGACCATCCTTGCTACACGAGGGGCAACCATGTATACGTTGATGTATAATTACATTTCTACGTGTTATTGGTGTACACGAGGCAGGATACTGAGAGCTGCTGCTGTCACTTGTAATTGTAATTTTGCTGGTAATTCGCTTTCAGTTATGATCTGGAATGAATGAAGTACTCGTGTGTTGAGGCGTAAATGTCGTCTGCTGCCGACACTATTCATCTCCGTAATGGTAAGAATAATTATTGTGGAAAATCTTTAGGTCTTCATTCAAGGAAGAATATCTTGTTTTCCCTTTATGGGTGTATGTATCTCCTCGTTAATGTATTATATTTATATATTTATTTGACGTTGTATATAGAGAGGTGCCGGGTAGTGAGTCACGGCGTGCTGTGCGGAGGTCGAGTTTCAGGGGCGTCAGTGGGTGGCTTTGTTGTGTGGTGCTGGCGGGTGATGCAGCCATGCAGTCAGGGACGCGACAACTTACTGGCTATTACGGAATATCTAACCCGAACATGATACAGACCACAACAAACAGCTGAAACCTCTCACAACCCATTCCCGCTGGAGACAACCCCGCCTGTGACATTTTCTAAATCCTCCTCCGGTGTAGATCTGAGTGTTTACATCGTACTAAAACTTCCGGAATGGCCCAAAAAACCCTCGCAATAGTACCCAGACTAAAGTTGCTACATCTCACAAAACGCACCAGCCACTGTACTGTACCAGGTATTAGTGCAGCATACTGTACGACGTCCCCTTTCTTAATCAACTCTAGGATTATCCCCAGACAAATACAGTACATTATTTGGTCCCTAACTTTTAACAACGCTCTGCCGCCCCTCATACACCATTGAACATTCTTTTTATTTATTATAAGTCATGTTTGATGACGAAGTTTGAGTCACACGTGTGTGGGTATATGATATATCCAATCGGTCAGTGGTTCCCTTTACTGTGACCTGATGCCATAATAACTATCATCAATTGCTATCATAAAGTTGATGGAGGCATCTTTAGTTCAAAGACAAGTTTTATTGTTCACTCAACTCTTGCTTCACAGTTATAAACAACATAATTATAACCAGTGAGATGAGGTTGCTCCGGTGGTGCTGGACAGTGCCACCTGACACACCCGTCTGTTCCAGCTCTTGTTTACATGTTGGACAAAACCAGAGTTACCAGACTCGCGCAACTATGTTGTTTGTGCACTTTCTGGACAATCCTATGTTTTTGGCAGAATGCCTAATTACCACACACACAAAAAAAACACTGGGATAATTTATACCTAGTGTGGGCACCACTGCCAGTACTGTACTGAACTGTAGGTGGTGTGTCGTTTCTTCTGGAAACATACTGTAGTTATGTTGAGAAGCTTTAACAACTGTTCCCTCACATTTTACTGAATTAAAATAAAGTTGAAGAATACTGGAAATGAATGTAACTTTTCTTTCATTTTGTTAATTAAGTGAGGTGAACAGTGGGGCGCTGGTTGTACCACTTGTGTGTTGAAACACCCGTTAATAAATGTGTCGGCAACGCACACGTGTCCCCAACTTGGCCTCTTATGAGACTTGTTTGTGTAATGAGAGCTAACCACTGGAACACTAAGCTGGAAATATTCTCAGTAGTTTGATTCACCTTCGTTGGAAGTTGGAATGCCACAGAAATGACACAACAATGACGTCACATTGCTGACGTCACGCCCGCTCTACGCGGGAAGAAAAACTGGGAGCCCTATTCTCATTGGATTGTATTTTACTTATGTCAAGACTCAATTTTAACAGAAGAAACATTTGCACCATCACAACACTATAAAATAAAAGAGGAAGTAGTGAGTGCACGTCAGTTTAGCGAGGTCGACACTTGCTTATTACTCACTATTCGCACGGGCACTGTACTCACTAACGCTCGCATACGCTCCTACACACACACCCTCTCTACTTCTACGTACACAGTCTCCTTCATTCACGCCCAGGGTATAGAGTATCCCCAGACGCTTCCCCCCTGTACTCTTAGCCGTGAGTGCACGGGTAACTAAACTCATTATTTATTAGTGTGTGTGTGTGTGAATAAAAATTACTGGCGAGATAGTTCATACAAGTGATCCGCACTCTGCTTGTTGGGTATTACACCACTGCCCAGCCCATAACCTCCAGTGTTTGGAATCACAGTACAAGCGGACAGTCTTAAGGCAACATTAACAAGTAAGTACATATTTGTGCGTCGTTGTAATAAGTACAGCGTGATGGTGACTCGGTCTTGTAGTGTATGTTCTGGATATTACCCTTTGAATTATTATTTATTTTTTTTACAAGGGAGTTGCTGTTACCTCCAGAATGAGATAAAAAGTGTTAGATACTACTAACAATTAAACTTCTCATGAAAACTTAAGGCAATAATTCGTGTACATTATATACTAAAGAGCTAGTTGGAAAGTCCAAGAGAGATAACATTTTAACGTACCCAGAGGAAAGACCCCCCCCCCCCTGAGACCTACAGAACCCTAGGAATAATTTCTTAACTCCCAGGGGATCGTGGGGCGTCACGGTACAGTTGTTGGCTTTAGATCAAAATTTATAAAAACGAAAGTGTAGGTGAATACTAACCAACACTTCATACACAGACGTTACTTTATAGAGTTACGTTTATTATTTATAAGCAACACATCTGTGACATATTTTTGTGTGAATATATACAACATTCTGGAATAATATGGTTTTGTAAAGCAACAGAGAAACTACCTTTATGATGGAAATGAAAGACTAATCTTAAACGTCTGGCAGAAATTTGTTTTTTGCGAAACAAACACTGAGAAGAGCCTTGAGAATAATTCCAGGGAGATGAGAATGACACAGCATTCACTAAATAATTCCATTTCTTAATAGAGTCGAGAATGTGAGGTGTCAGCCACACAAAGGCCTCGTCCAACAAAGCCCGGATGCTGGGGAGCTCTGGGGGAGGGGGGGTTCTCACGCTCAACCCATGATAACTATCTCAGGTCATGTCAACCCTCGTAAACAATGACGCCCGGGCGCCAGAGTCATGCGGTAACTGTTGATAAGAGAACACAAAACTGGACCATTTAAGCGTAAACGTAAAGATAACATCCAGACGTCCAAAAATGGCGTCAAAATTTCATTGAGACTCTACCTTAAGGTAGCGAATATTTGGAATATTCTTGTTGGTCACAAAGTGTTGGTGCACGTGTGTCACAAAGTGTTGGTGCACGTGTGTCACAAAGTGTTGGTGCACGTGTGTCACAAAGTGTTGGTGCACGTACGTGTTGGTCCTTTTTATAGATATATATCACACAAATATATATAATAGTTCTGGAACTAATAAGTGGCTGGGCTGAAGTAAACACTGTGTTGGTTCTTCTTTATTGTAGAAAAATATAGTTTCACGGGTACTGAGTTCAGTTGAGAGTATATTGTACCTTCTCTGCTAAGTGAAGTGTCTTAGTGCACTTATAGGAGAACACTTATGTGAGGTGTTCACTGGGTAACGAGTGATATGAGTCTGCCCGCTCTCTCCTGCTCAGAGTGTGAGACGCAAGGAGGAGCGGGCGAGGTATTTGCAAGATCAACTTGACCTGTGGCTCAACTTCTGATGAAGTTACAGACCTCAGCAAGTATCACATGAACAACTACTGAGTCATTGTTGAATAACTTAGTGAATAATTGGGTATTATACATTTGGGTGAATATTTATAGAATGCAAATGATGCTGTTACACCGCTCGGCCACCTCCAACTGAGACCTCACGGTTTAAATCCTAGGTGTACCTCACCTTGTTACAAGAAGGTGTGCTTGAGCTAAACTTTTTCTTCGTGCACATGCTTTTGAAATTCCTTCCGAAAAGTCTTCTTAGAAACTTTTGTGTACCTAGAAGAAATCTTCCTGTAACAAATTATCATAACAATCAAGGAACTGATAAATATGATGGTAGGTATAATAAAACCAGGAAGGATTATACTGGAAGATAAATATAAAGGAAGAGAATCCTGTAAGTCAGGAAACTGTGTTTCATTAATATAAGACAGTGTGTACGTGTATGTGTGAACCTCTTTCTCACAGGATGTAGATGATTCATCACTATCCCCGAAGTGTGAGGTCAAGAGTGTGAAGAAATGTCCAGTGGCCATCTCACAAGAACATTTGGAGACTTAAGCACACACACACACACATACACGTACGCACGCACGCACGCACACACACAGATACATACATACACACAAAACACACATACACGTACGCACGCACACACATACATACACACACAAAACACACTTACACACACACACACATACACACACCCAAAACACACATACACACACACGCACACACACATGCACACACACACACGCACACACACACTCACACACATACATACACACATACAGACACACAAAACACACATACATACACACACAGACACACACATACACGTACGCACGCACACACACACACATACACACGCACACACATACATACACACAAAAAACACACGCACATACACTGCACATACACACACACTTCATTGACTTATCACATTTTCTTATAGTTTGTACCAGAGTTCAAATTCCTGTCATTTTCTCTTGGATTACACGAAAGCGCTTGGGAACTTCGTGTTTTCTTCTTTCCTTGTGGTTATCAGCATATACCTAGATCACGCGCACCTACAGTGATTTACTTGCATATATATATATATATATATATATATATATATATATATATATATATATATATATATATATATATATATATATATATATATATATATATATATATGGAGGAATTTCTTTAGCAGTGATAAGATTGGTCTTGACAGACCTGGTGAAGGAAGAAGGGACTGAACGGAACGGAAAGAAGTTGAGAGAGAAAGATGTAAGAGTGGCAGATAGGTGAGAGGTTAAAACTCTGAGAACGGAAGTAGTATGCAGCGCTGTCAAATACCCGAGGCGTATCGTCTGTTAACTCCACACACACACACGGAGGTTGGAAATATCAAGTCATTTTTTATATTGTCAAAGAAGGAGGAAAAAACGTTTTATTTGGGGCGAGAACCTGGGAATTCTTTGTGTACGAACAATATTGATGGTCCCAGAGTGTGTTATTGTCTATCTAAAGTGTCTGGTGTATGTTGAGGCAGAGTTGCTCCCTCCCTCCCACTCCGTCACCCACTTCACCTTTAACTCTTCTCCCGGTGTGGTTTATAAAAGTTTGGTGTGTGACTCGTACTTATATAGAAAGAGTTGTGAATTTTTTCAAATTCGTCGATGAATCACAAAAGTTTATGAAGTGATATGGTAAGGCAGTCAGTTTTATAATGTAGCGATATACGTTCAGGTAAACTATCAACCTTATGTTACCCTGTTATATCAAAGTTGACGTGTGGGAAGGGAGTATTTAATAGGACGTAAGAATAGATACGCTAGTGATGTGCTCTAGGGCTGATGTGTTGAGTGAAGCCAGGAGATGGGGTGTGTGCGTGACGCGACGGCTACACACAAGTGGTTCACTAACAGTGAGTGAGACATGCTTAATTTTCTTCCTCGCACGAAAATAATAATGTACAACAAACCTCCTTTCTTCCTAACATATTAAATAACTCGAAATACTTAACATACACACAGATATTCTAATAAGGGCAAAGGGAGGGTGTATGAGTGTAGTGTCTGCCCCCCCCCCCCTTGACCTTGATGCTCTCAACTCAGAGAAGGACCAGCACTGCCTCAACCCGCATCATCCGTCACTCTGAAACCTGGTCCTTTTATTGAGATCCTCGGGCGGAGTCTATATAATTTCTTGCTTTATTGAGACACTTACGTGAGTGTATAGATCACTTGGCCAGCCACATAAACATCAGTTTACCAGATGGTTTATCACCTGTGCACTGTACTGTCCTGTTCTAAGTACATAAATATAAAATCACGAAAAAATTAATAAAGTCCAAACTGTTGGGATTTATCGATAGATAATGTTTATATGGTATTTACGTAATGCTTAATATTCTTGGAAACAGAAAGTGGGGCGACGTAGAGAGAGAATGTATCTTAAAGGTTGTAGTTACAAGATGTCCCATGATAACTTTATCCAGCCATAACATGACATCCGCCCACAGTTCTTGACTTTCTGTATGTTGGGACACCTGGCGACATCCTCACTCACTGCTTACAGTGACTCTGTCTCCGTCACACTTATCCTGTTACAGTGACGCTCTGCCTCCGTCACACTTATCCTGTTACAGTGACGCTCTGCCTCCGTCACACTTATCCTGTTACAGTGACGCTCTGCCTCCGTCACACTTATCCTGTTACAGTGACGCTCTGCCTCCGTCACACTTATCCTGTTACAGTGACGCTCTGCCTCCGTCACTGATCCTATTACAGTGACGCTCTGCCTCCTGTTACAGTGACGCTCTGCCTCCGTCACACTGCGAGTCTTGTTACAATGACGCTCTGCCTCCGTCACACAGTCGCTGTTACAGTAACATTGGCACCATCACACTTCCTCTGGACAGTTGTCGTCACCTGGGCGTGATGGTGCAGCAAAAACACTGGTATACAGTAAGGTGTCGGTGTGGGCGGTGGTTCAGGGTGAAGAGAGAGAATAGTTCGACCATCGGTGTGGGCGGTGGTTCAGGGTGAAGAGAGGGAACAGTTCGACCATCGGTGTGGGCGGTGGTTCAGGGTGAAGAGAGGAACAGTTCGACCATCGGTGGGCGGTTCAGGGTGAAGAGAGGGAACAGTTCGACCATCGGTGTGGGCGGTGGTTCAGGGTGAAGAGAGGAATAGTTCGACCATCGGTGTGGGCGGTGGTTCAGGTGAAGAGAGGGAACAGTTCGACCATCGGTGTGGGCGGTGGTTCAGGGTGAAGAGAGGGAACAGTTCGACCATCGGTGTGGGCGGTGGTTCAGGGTGAAGAGAGGGAACAGTTCGACCATCGGTGTGGGCGGTGGTTCAGGGTGAAGAGGGAACAGTTCGACCATCGGTGTGGGCGGTGGTTCAGGGTGAAGGAGAGGAACAGTTCGACCATCGGTGTAGGCGGTGGTTCAGTGAAGAGAGGAATAGTTCGACCATCCACGACGGTGCTGTCAGCACTAGCTCATCACGATGCCCTAAGTGTGCCTCCTACAGCTGACATATTCCCCCACTTTCAAGGGGTCTATAAAGTCTATGAGCAGTTTAAAATATTAACAACTT